CTCAGATGTTGTGCTGGAGTTCGAGTGGCGGCAGAACCTGAGCAATCCTGGTGATTACCAGCTGGTGACATGGGCGCGTGACCACAGCCTCAGGATTTGGAAGATAGACCACCAGTTGCAGAAGGTGAGTTTCCTTTGCAAATATGGTTAAAGCATTAACAAATATCTTGGTTTTCCATAGCCTTAGAATAGAGATCTAAGTTGGCCATAACCTCAGAATAGAAGTCGAGCCACCTTATCCAACAAGTTAGACAAGATGGATGAGATATTTTTTACTGTTTGGAACCCTGGTCTTTGTTTCTGGGACAAGTTGTTCATCTCATCCATCTCACCTACCCCTGTAGCAAGGCCAGTAGGAGAAGATATCACATTAGCTTTTTTATGTAGACAATGATAGTTGTGGGCAATTGCAACATAGTATGGAATTGTATGGCACTTTATGGTTGTTATTAAAAAAAAATTTGCTTGTCAGAGTAGTTACATGATGTATGTAGTGTAAAATGAAGGCTCTGGAATAACTAAATTATGAATGTTTACTATAGAGCTAGTTCCATTGTTGTTAATGAAAGCCATGGAGGGCTCTGAATGTCTGAATGCTTCCTTGTCATTGTGGTGGTCCGGGCAAGTTGTTTGACTAAGCAAGATGAGGAGTTTTGAACACAGCATAAGTTTTAGATGCAGAAGATGAGTTACTTCTAATGATGATGATGATGAATTAAAATAGCCATATCCTTAGTACTTTGAAGAGTAGTCAATTAGAGAAAGCATCATTATGATTAACCCCTTGTTCATGGGTGGCATCTACTATGATATCTATGGCTGTATAGTGCTGATGCTACAGGGTGACATCCCTACAGATGTGGCCCATAGAGAAATACCCATTTGGCAGACCGCACAGCCGCTGAATAAGCTAGGTTAGATATTGATGAGGCAGAAAATTTAAGATAATCTGTTATTAATATGTGACAGATTTTGATGATTTTCATTGATATTTTGATAGGCATCCAGTTAAACTGATAATGTCTATTGAATTCTTGAAATTCACAGATATTGGATTATCCCTTGTAAGCCATCAGATGTTTAGCTCCTGGAAGTAATGCTTGTTTTGGTAAAGTACATTGTTTTGTGATTCAACTGCATATTATTTTTGGATCTTCCATAGCTGTGTGGACATGAGATGGAGGAAGAGGTTATGTTAACAGAACGCACAGACAGTGATTATACTAGTGATACTACACCAACACCTGGTAAGCAGAAGTTGATGTTAGAATGAAAGTGAAAAAAAAAGATGGTGAATAGGTCTATTGAACATTTTTTGGCATAATGATTTTCATCCAATATATGATAGTAATCAGCTTTGGTATAAAAAAAAGGCTCATTTCCAGTATGCTGTATATATTTTTGGTCTGTATATTTGTTTTTAACTTATATAAATATCTCAGGCCCAGAGCCAAATGATGTTGATGGAGATGGAGAAAGGAGAGACTTGGTCCTCACTAACAGTGACACACATCAGACTGAAGCTGATAACTCTATCATTGATGGTTTGTTCATATAATGAATTATTTTGCTTTGTTGTATACTTTTGTTGATGTAAGTGATTTAGTTATGGTGTGTAGTATTTCAGACTATATCCAAACAGTCTTACCTAATTTTGCAAATCCATTCATGGCATTCCGTGCCTAGTAGGAGAAAAAATGATTATTAATGTCCACCTCCCACAGGATGTGAACCTGATAGAAGCATTAACTCAAACAAATTCAGCCTGAATGGTACAAATAAGAATACACAAAATGCAGTCAGTGGAACACCACAGAAATCTGAAATTGTGCTGGCAGAGACTGTTCCTCCTCAGGCATCACAGACGCTGGTATCGGTGGCCACCCCTTCGCCCTCACATCAGGTCTCCAACTTTACAAGTAGTAAGTTGTGCACAGTATCTAGAAACAATTCTCTCTCTCTCTCTCTCTCTCTCTCTCTCTCTCTCTCTCTCTCTCTCTCTCTCTCTCTCTCTCTCTCTCTCTCTCTCTCTCTCTCTCTCTCTCTCTCTCTCTCTCCCTCTCTCCCTCTCTCCCTCTCTCCCTCTCTCCCTCCCTCCCTCTCTCTCCCTCTCTCTCCCTCTCTCTCCCTGTCCCTCTCCCTGTCCCTCTCCCTGTCCCTGTCCCTGTCCCTCTCCCTGTCCCTGTCCCTGTCCCTGTCCCTGTCCCTGTCCCTGTCCCTGTCCCTGTCCCTCTCCCTCTCCCTCTCCCTCTCCCTCTCCCTCTCCCTCTCCCTCTCCCTCTCCCTCTCCCTCTCCCTCTCCTCTCTCTCTCTCTCTCTCTCTCTCTCTCTCTCTCTCTCTCTCTCTCTCTCTCTCTCTCTCTCTCTCTCACTATCTTTGTCTGTCTTTGTCTGTAAAAAAAATTGAAATACATGAAAAAAAGAAAGAAGAAAAAATTGTACCAGATGGTTGGTGTGAATCACCACTTGCAATTACAAAATTCTCATATTCACCTTCTTTTCCCTGCTAGCCCTCCCTGCAGCAAACAAAGCAAGCACATCTGTAGTAGGTTTGTCTTCGACACTCCCTGCTGGCAGCAGCTTGACAGTAGGACAGCCCATGACATTGCAACAGGAGTTCTCACTACTGAACACTTCACTGGACAACAACCAAGTCAATTCTGTAGAAGTTGTGGTGAGTCTGCTTATCTTTGTCTGATTTGTGATCATGATTTTATTTTTATTGACAAAACTATTTTATAATTTAGTTAATAGTTAATGGGCTTGTCTGTTTTTTGTCTGTAATTTTTAAATTATTTAAGCATTGGATTTAGCCTTTTTGATTCTCCTACAAGAGTGTAAAAAAGGTGCAGCCTATAATTTGCTACTTTATTTTTTTAGAATATTCTTGATTTGTAATTAAGTATTATAATGCTTACGTTTGTATGTTTTTGTTGTCTCTTTTGCTCTGCTATTTACTGTTTGTGTTTTTTATTATTATTCTTTTCTTTTGCCTTGAATTATAATTGTTTTTTTATAAGCATAGGGCAGAAAGGTAAGTCACCTGCATGACATGATTAGACAACATTTTTAAGGGAAGTTGTGTTGATAAGGATTTCTGTACTGGCTTTCGGTAATCATGGCTTTGTCTCCTGAGCCTTTTTGAAAAATTAATTTGTGCTATCTCTGAACTTTTGTTAATCCAATTGGCACAGATGCAAAACTACTGCTCAACTGTAATAAAAGTTCATCTATCGTCTTCACACATAGATGGCTCTACAAGTATTTGTTTACAAGGAGTCAGTTAGTAGTCTTACCTATCTCACCTATTTACCCATTTTCTTGATTTTTTGAAAGCTTCATCTGTATTATTTTATTGTCTTTAATGTTATTAATATTTTTATAACAATCTAATATTCATAATATCATTAAGAATAATGACAATGTCAATATTTACAGTATTAGAGAGAGAAAAAAACCCACAAATTCAAGGAATGGGGAAATCAGGCCCTACTGATAGACTCCTAGGTGGCTGAGCACATGTGTTGCCATCTGTATGTAACAAAATTCACAAAAAATTAAAGGGGACACTACATAAACCTGTAGTCATGGGTTTAAAGATTTAGTGGAAAACTTTGTTCATTTCCCTTTATTTTTAGTTTAATGTTTTAGTGGAATAATGATTTTGATCTGTGAATTTAGGTTTACCTGGTTAAGAGAGATCGTATCTTACTGAAATAGAACAAACTATTTGATATTAAGCTATGAAACATTCTAGATCAATAGGCATTTCTTTTGCTTACAAAGTCTGCGCATAACAATGAAATATATTGTGGTGTCATGATGTCATGGCCTCTTTACACTGTATGATTGTAAAAAATGGATAGCAGCGTTAATACTTTGCGTTTTACATTTCTTTTTTTTTTGGGGGGGGGCTACGAATAGTCATTTGATATCTTCAGATGCAAATATGAAGTATTTTATAAAAATCTGCGTAAATGGATCATGGAAAGTCACCATATAATTACAGCAGTGTAATTTGTGATCACAGTTTACTGTTACTTTTTACCCATTTACTCTGAATTCCTTAATATTGTTGAAGATATTTACAAGCTGTCCCCTATATCCTATTGTAAAATATATGCTTTGTTAGTAAATCTGTTTTATTTTTTATTTTCTGCGAATATTCATTGACAAAATTTATTGAACAGAGATATGCCTTTTGAAAGACGTGACATTGGTTTATCCATCTTCTTTCCCTCTAATTTAAATGATTTTTGTGTATCTTACTGATGAAAATAAAGGAATTATGTACCAAAATAATCATTAATATATTCTAAGGGAGGATAGGGGACAAGGGGAGGAGGAATACCATTAAATACCTTAAGATAAACTGACACATGTGTCATTAATCACTCTGACAGAATGCTGCTGGCATTTTCCCTTGATAACAGTTGTCCAGTGTAGTCTAAATTTAATCTGAGCACAACCACATTCGATAAGATATTTCAGATGAAAAATCTATATTCTACCCATATATTAGGTCAGAACCTGCGGCCTGCACCTGGGCTTTAGACCCTCTGTCCCTTCAACCCAAAACCGATGGGTATGGCTTGTACATATATGCCATGCCCACTGTGAGTTTACTTTATTAATTGTTTTTACACATAGATGGCTCCACTTTTACTAAGTCACCAATCAGCTAATTATGAGTACTACCTGTCTCACCTGTATACCCTTCTTGATTTTTGAAAACATTTCCTTATTTTGTATTGCTGTTACTAACATCAATAACATTATAGTTATTATAATGTCTATAATAAAAATAACACCATTGATATTGGTAGTATTTGTAAAAAAAAACATTTTTCCTGCAGTTTTGAGGAAATGTGAAATCAGTTAAGGTCACAAGGTCTACTAAGAGACGTCTTTGTGGCTAAGCACTTGCAGAGCCATCTATGTGCAGAGACTTTTCACAAAAAATTCAAAAATGAGCAGAGCATTTTCCCAGCGACATTGGGTTAAATGTCATACAGCCATGTTATGTCCCCTAAAAATTTACCCAGTATACGGAGAGGATTTCTAAATGGTTGAGGAACATTATGAACACTTGTTTGGAATTAGTGATTTTCAACTCCCAAGTGTCGCAGTTTCCCATAAACCAATGGATCCAGGTTCCTTGCTGTGTGGAGCCTAGACCCCTTTCCTCCCCTTTGCAATGTTATTCTCTCTTTTTCTGCTTAAGCATATTTTGTTTCTTTGCTATTTTCCAGGGTTTCTTTTTGTTACTTGATATGCTGTATCAAGATGGTAATAGAATGTTGAAGTTGCCCACACTCCATATCATAAATCCCTACACACATACATATATACATATATATATATATACATACATACATATACATATACATATGTATAGATATATATACATATATACATACATGTATACATACATATATACATACATGTATACATACATATATACATATATACATACATGTATACATGCATATATACATATGCACATATGTATGTACATGCATATGTTCGTATATATGTACATACCTACCTACATATATATACATAAATATCTTTACATAAATACATATGTATGTACAAACATACATACATACATATGCATGTAAATATATCTGTATGTATGTATGTACATACATATGTACATACATTCATACATACATACATGCATACATGCATACATAAATTGATGCATTAGTCATTCTACTTTTACATTTGCCTCTGGCCATAGGCTAAAATATTTTCTTGTGACAGATTTAGAAAGAAATGAAATGCAGTTGAGCAAGAATTGAAGAGGAATTGTCTGAGATTTAGGGATTTACAGTTGTTACAGTAGGCATCATCATTATTAATTTTCCTAAGCATACTAGTAGGCTTTTTTGGGACACAGTAGACTCTGGTTGGTATAAGCATTTTCTCTTCCTCATTTTCAAACTGTTTAGAAGCATCTTAATCTTTGAAAAAAAAACATAGCACATAATTTTTAAAGAAGACTTTTGATAGTAAAGGGTAGGGAAATTTGTGTTCAAAAATAATTGAGCTGGAATAACCAGAGTCTACTGTAATCCCACAGAATGGAGTGGAGGAGGCGGAAAGCAGAGAGATCAAAATCAGTCAAGAAGGAAGAGAAATTGATGGGTTGGATAAAGAAGAGAACTCGAGTGGAAGAGACTGCAGTGGATTGGTTGAAGAGCCATGTCACCTTTCTGGAGACTATGTAATCTTGAAGAAAGAGGATAGCGAATTGGTAGAGTGTGGCAGGGAAGAAGAGGTAGACAGTATAATGAGAGGAGCTGAAAGAATGACTCAGGATCCTGGGGGATTGGTGGAAGGAGACAACAACTTAAAGGCTGCAAATCTGGTGGGACAGGCATCATACGTGAAGGAAGGGGAAACTAGTGTGAATGATGCTATTTCTGGACAGAATTGCATAGCTTTAGAGAACTCTAATGCCCTAGTCCACACAGTAGTTGACTTTGTGAAAGAACTGGATAGTGATGATGATGAACACCAGTTCACTGCATGTGACTTGAACTCCCTAACTGCTGGAGGAAACAAACAAAGTGAACATGAAGAGATGGAAGATGCAGAGAACAGGGAGAGTCTCTTTGAATTCAGGAGTGTTGAGGTCATGCATGAAGGTCAGGAAGTGAGTACTGCTAGTGATGGAGACCTGAAGTCGCTCACCGTGAGTTACTTGCTTGAACTAGAGAATGGGAAGAGAGAACCATTGGTTGCCAGTAACAGAGGCTATCCCAACAACCACATTATTAAGATCAAGTCTTACACAGATGATTTAGTGGAAGCCACAGATAAGGAAAGCCATAAGTACTCCATGGTGGAGGAACCTGCCCTTCGGATTAGATTTAGCAGTGAGAGTGAGATGACACCCTTAGAGCATGTTGTGAAACAGAGTGAAAGAATGAGGGTGTCCCCACAAAGTTTGGAGGGATGGTTGGTAGACAGTTCAGATATGATCAGCCTGGTGCCAATTAGTGAAGCTGCTAGTCTTAAAGAGGTGGATATGGGGAAGGAGGAGGCAGTAATACACATTGTTGAATGTGAAGGGGGGTTTGAGGCAAATGAGATTCCTGCCCCCTCCACCCTGCTCACTAGTGAAGATGTAGCTTCCACGGGAGCCTCTACACTGGGTGAGGCAGAAGTAGTTTCAGAGCAGGTGATGGACACATCACCCCTGATGCTGTCCCTACCACTGGTTACTGCACAAACCACAATGAGTGCAGCTGTTATGGAAGGATCCATTCTCATTAAAGGGTCTAAAAATGAGTCACTGCAGGTCTCTGCGAAACTTGTGTATTTGCCTGACTGCGAAGAGAATAATCTGGGGCCACCTGAGGAGGCATGTGCATCCCTTGCACCTCAACTCCTTGAAGGGGGTGTGCTGGTCCTTGGGGACAATATAATCATGCTGAGTAACCAACTCTACCTCACACATGTTGAACTGGTGGCAGCTGAGGGTGATACACATACACAGATTTCTATTAGTCTCCCTACAGATCCTGTGGAGAATTATCATGAAAAGAAGGTCAACTTTGTGCTTATTAGTTTAGGGTCAGAGCAAAACCTAGTTATGGCTTCAGCTCCCTGCACCCCACAGAAGCTGGTGAGACTTCTCCAGGATGATAGGATCTCTGTACGCAATGCGCCTCACAGTGATGAACCAGGGATCTTTCAGTGTGACAAATGTGATAAGTCATACAAAGTTCGCTCTTCTTTAAATAGCCACAAAGTCACACACAATTCAGAGAAAATGTACAAATGTGATGAGTGTGATAAAGCTTTCCATTACAGTACACCACTACAGATCCATAAGCGCATCCATACAGATGAGCGACCATACAAATGTGACAGGTGCTCTGCTTCTTTCCGATCCAAAGCTAACCTGAAGTACCATGAACGGCTACACACAGGAGAACGTCCTATCACATGTCGAGAGTGTGGGCAAGGCTTCAAGGACTACACATCCCTGAAGAGACACAGACAGAAGGCTCATGAAATATCCAGTCTTAAGTGTGGTGAGTGTAGTGAGGTGTGTCTGTCTTTGGAGCATTTGACAACACACATGTGGCAGGTGCATGATCTACTGTATGTAGAGGAGAGTGCTAGCAAATGTGAGAAATGTGGTGAGACATTCACAGACAAGAGGACGTATAACAACCACATTATGATGCATGAACGGAGAGATAAGGCAGCCCAAGTTGGGCTCCGCAAACTTGCAGATTACACTCACCGATGTGGTATCTGCAACATGACATGCCAAAATAAAACACAGATGCTCTTGCACATACAAATTCATGCAGCTGTAAAGAGATTTAAGTGTCGATACTGCAGTAGTGCATTTATGTATCGTTTTCTTCTGGCACGCCATGTGCGAGAACAACATCCAGATGACCCAGAGTGGTTCTGCCAGTACTGTGATGATATCTTTGAAACGTGCAGAAAGATGACCATGCATAGTTGCCGCACAGTACGAGGGGATTACAGCTGTCCACACTGCCCCTTCAAGACTGAAGTGCGACACAGACTGTTCAGACACATAGTGAAAACCCATCCAGAAGACAAAATGCCATACTATTGTGAGTTCTGCAAAAACAGCTTTGAAGATCCCAACAAGTTGCGCTATCACCAGAAACGTGAACATCCTGAGAAGATGCTTGTGGTTTCATTGCAACGTGAGTCAGCCAAAAATAATGGTGGAGGAGTAGGGGGTGGGGGGAAAGATAAGAGTGATTCTCCAAGCATTGATATGTCACAAGTGGAGATGACCATTGAGGGTGATACGCTGGTATACTTTATTCCTGAAGAACTGCGAAATGATGAGGTTTTCAGGGAGAAAGTTAAGTTTAAATGTTTTTACTGTGAAGCTAAGTTCCCAATCAAGAACTCTATGACAAGGCACATCCTTCGTGAGCACCCAGGGGAGAAGGCATACAAATGCCTTAAGTGCAACATCTTCTTGAAGTCGAGTGTGGAATCAAAGAACCACCACCGCCGTTATCACAGATTCTCAGAGACAGGAGGCAGAGATCCCAACCGCAATGAGAGGGCAATGATGAAAAGGGCACAGTGGCTGCAGGCCCAGTTAAACAGCTCGGAGAGTCGCATGAAGAACCTCTACAAATTCAGCTGCCGTTTCTGCCAGATGGTATACAGAGAGAAGCGGTCCCTGGTGGCACATTACCGCAAAAGGCATCCGGATGAAGAATGGGACTACTTCCCAGACAAGCCCATCCGAGCTGTGGCCAAAACAGGCCGCAAGAAGAGGATCCTTGTCTATTATGACTGCAGTTTTCATGATGACTGTAATGCTGTGTTTGATGACCTGTCAATGCTGCGCCAACATCTTTTCAATGCCCATGATATTGCAGAGGAATACAGTGATAAGTATGTGTCTAAACGTCTAGTTATTGATCACTTACGGAGGGGGAGACTACCCAAGAATGCTATTGACCGGCAGGCCCAAAGAGTTCAAATTGGTAAGAGAAAATTGGAGGTAAGGCAAGATTCTGTCATACCTTCCACAGATATGGACACAGATAATGAAGAAATTGTTGATGATCCAGTGGGTGTAGATGATGGTCTAGATTCAAAAGTTGATATTATGAATTCTTTACATGACTCCTTAACCCCTGAATTAAGTGTGCAGGACAGTGAGGAAACCTTGTCAGGGCCAGATAGTCAAACGTCTAGTTATTGATCACTTACGGAGGGGGAGACTACCCAAGAATGCTATTGACCGGCAGGCCCAAAGAGTTCAAATTGGTAAGAGAAAATTGGAGGTAAGGCAAGATCTGTCATACCTCCACAGATTATGGACACAGATAATGAAGAAATTGTTGATGATCCAGTGGGTGTAGATGATGGTCTAGATTCAAAAGTTGATATTATGAATTCTTTACATGACTCCTTAACCCCTGAATTAAGTGTGCAGGACAGTGAGGAAACCTTGTCAGGGCCAGATGGAAAGAGAGCAAGGTCTTCCTCTTCCAGCTTTTGTGAGCAGAAGCAACAAATTCATTTAGATGATATAGGGTCGCTCCATGATGTCAAAAAGATGTTATATCGTTGTCACCGATGCAACAGATCATTTACCAGTAGAGGGGAGTATCGGGAACATGTTGCTCGGGCTCGCCATGTGGATTGTCGCACTATCAGATATGATCCTCACATCAAACAGGAGCCAATAGAGGATGACAGCTTTAGTGGAACAGATACTGTTGACTGTTATGAGTCCTCAGTGGATGAGGTACGTCTTAAATATGAAGGTGATGAAGGTAAAGAACAGCAGAGAAGAACAGTATCCCACAGAGGTAGAAAGAGATTACAGCATACTGAATTGAGAAGGGAGGGCACAATAAAAGTGGAGATGGAGTCACAGGATGAAGAGGAAAGCATAGCCATTACCAGTCTTGAGATGGAGGAACAGGGGGAGGCACTTCTCAAGGTCCTCACTATCCATGCCCCAGAGACAGGATGTTCTGGTTTTGTTGGTGTCAAAGTGGAAGATGAAGGAAAAGGCATGAACAAAGGTCCAATAGATAGAGATACTGAAGAATCTTGTTCAGCCAAAGGAAAGAGCTTGTCTGCACAAGCAGCTTTGCCATTTGACAAGAAAGACTTCCTATGCCATAGTGAAAATGTGATAGATTCTCTGTCACTGATGAATAGCAGTAGGTCAAGCCAGGTAATGAGTAGGTCTCTTGTAGCAGTATCATCTGAAGGTGGAAGTTCTTCTGACAATATCATGGCACTGGGGGAGTTCAGTACAGCTAGTACTGTTAGAATCAAAACAAGGAAAGTAGAAAGAACACAGTTAGAAATGAAAAAAGTTAAAGAACCAGGAAATGTCGAAGAAAATTCAGAGAGAAGAGGAACAAGGGCAGGGAGGAGACCAGGGAGAAAAGGAAAGAATCAGGAAAAGAGGGGTAGAAATAGTGAGAAGAATAATGCTGAAAGTAGAAGAAGCAATGGGGTAAAGAGAGAAAGAGAGATGTCTGATGGGAAAGTATGTGAATTGTGTCATGCTAATTTCAAGACAAGAGCAGAAGCCTCCTTCCACATGAGGTTAGACCATTAAATTGAGTTGGGCAAAAGGGAGTTTTTTGTAATGTTTACATCAAATACATCCTTTAAGCTTATTAGGCTTATTATGATAAATAAAAATGGTACTCTATACTTCCATGGAATTAATAAAGATTAATAATAAAAGCCAGAAATTGTGATATTTGCTGTGATTTATGTATATAAAAGTACATAAAATGTTTATAATACTGCTGGAGACTTATTGAGTATACCTTTTAATTATAGGGAATATATCTCCCATACTTTATTGAAAATTTTTAAGAATTAAACATCTTTAAGTTAAGAAAAATGAACAAGTAAAAAACAGATTAACTCTATGAATAGAGTGAGTGACTGAAAGTGAGTGAGTGCGAGTGTGAGAGAGCGAGAGAGTATCTTAGAGCCATGGAAAAAAGTGAGTGACAAAGTGAGTGACAGAGAACGAGAGTGAGAGAGAGAGCGAGAGTGAGAGTGAGAAAGAGTGAGAGAGAGAGTGAGAGAAAGAGCGAGAGAGAGAGAGCGAGAGAGAGAGTGAGAGAGCGCAAGAGACAGAGAGACAGAGTGAGAGAGTGAGTGAGTCAGAGAGTGAGCGAGTGACCGAGTGAGCTAGTGAGTGTGACAGTGAGAGAGAGAGAGTGTGTGTGTGTGTGTGTGTGTGTGTGTGTGTGTGTGTGTGTGTGTGTGTGTGTGTGTGTGTGTGTGTGTGTGTGTGTGTGTGTGTGTGTGTGTGTGTAGACATGTACACACATCTATTTTTCTGTCTGTCTGGCTGTTGGTTTGTCTGCCTGCCTGTGTCTGTTTTCCTGTCAACAGAGTTTGTATTTCTCATGGGTCTTGTAAGAACTGGCTTGTCTTTTAAATTTCTAAGTTGAATTATAGTAAAGTCCAAATACTATGAACAGTAATAGGAAGATAGTTAACAAAAAAGGAATTGATGCAGATGTAGATAGATTAACCCATTGCCGCCGGGGATGGCATGTACGTACATGCCATGGCCACTGTAAGTCGACTTGTTCGATTGTTTTTACACATAGATGGCTACACTTGTACTTAGTATCCAATGAGCCAATTACAGTACTGCCTGTTTCGCCCGTTCACCCTTTTCATCGATTTACGAAAATATTTAACGTTATCCTAATTTGCTGTTAAAAATAACACCATCTATATTTATAGCACTAGTAAAAATACGTTTTTTCCCACCAATTCAAGGAAAGATGAAATCAGGACTAGCAGAGCCATCTATGGACAGAGATATTTTACAAAAATATAGAAAATGAGTACTGCATTTCCCCTGTTTTTTGTTCATTTTCCCCGGCGGCAATGGGTTAATGTCTTATCAGAGTCCATGTTTGATTGAAATTGATACATAAAGAAAATTGTTTATCAAGTGTGGCTCTCATATGCTAGACAGGGTTGCACTCGGGAAAATTTTCTTAGAACCTCATTTTATGCCCAACAGTTTTATACTCATGATCAAATGTTGGTTATCCAAGACATAGCATTTATATGACACTTCTTAACCCATTTCCCCTATGTGTCAAGAATACATGCCATGCCCACTGTAATACATGTTTATTTATTATATTTACACATAGATGGCTCTACAAGTTCTTAATCACCAAATAGCCTATCTCACCTGTGTACCCTTTTCCTTCACTTTAGAAAGGGGTCTTTTGTATCATTTCATTGTCTAAAATATTTTAATGACAATTTAATAATCATAACATTATAACATCGATAGCAGTGGTATTAATGAGAAAAACATTTTCCTGCCAATTCAATGAATGAGAAAATCAGGATCGGTACCTAGGGCTACTGATAGACACCTTGCCGGCTGAGCACATGTGGAGCCATCTGTATGTAACAAAATTCACCAAAAACTACAGGGGACAGAACATAAATCCAGGGCGAATGGGTTAAGTATAGTGATAAATAGTCACTTGGGAGATTTTTGCTGGATCTGACAGATACTGGAAATTTATTAAGTATGGTCCATACTGTGTGACTGCAACTTGTGAGTGAATGATGTTACAAGATCAATACCAGAATTGTCAAGATAGTGTATGAATCAATTGTTGGTTGGGCTTAACATGACAAATGCTACAATGCAGTTATTGAACCTTCATCCATTACTTTATTTTTAAGCAATTTGAGTACTTTTGGACATAGCTGATTGGAAGGCTATGGGAAATGGTCTCATTCTGCCAACTAAGGCCTGAGGAACTCCAAGCCCTTGCAGATGACTGCAGTCCTCAGTGGATGGACAGTCATCTCAGATCATGTTAGAGTTTGTAAATATTGGGCTGCGTATTTTGAGCAGCTGTACCAGGTAGACCTCAGCAGTTAGTCTGGATGTATGACCCACCCATCAGCGAGGAACTTCATTCCCTAACTAAGATTACGGAGGTGATCTGTAAGATGAAGGGTGGGAAAGTTGCTTGTATATGTGATATTCCTGCTGGACTGCTAAAGGCTAGGGTGAACCAAAGGCACAGGGCTTTCATACTATTCTGGCTGCCATCTGGCAGTCTGGTTCCATTCCCCTGGACCAGTTGAGGGGTGTGGTCATCTCCCTCTGGAAGGGAAGGGGGATCACTGGGACTGTAGCAACTATTGTTGCATCACATTGGTCAGTATACTAGGCAGGATTGATCTGTAACCACCTACTAAGGCACCAGAAACTGGAGTAATTTGGATTCACTCCTGGCAAGTCCACAATAGACTGCATCCTAGCACTTCGAGTCATTGTGGAATACTTTCGTGAGTTTGATTGTGGGCTGCTTGCAATCTACATGCAGTCTACATGGAACTTAAAAAGGCATTAGACTCAATGCATCGTGAATTGCTATGGGAGATCCAGAGACCTAGGGGAATTCTGACATGGATTATTGGTTTAGTAGAAAGCCTATATACTAGTACCGAAAGTGCTGTAAAGTGTAGTGGGAGCCTGTCATGCTGTTTCCAAGTTAACTCAGGAGTAAGGCAAGGCTGTGTCCTTGCACCAACACCTCATTACTTGCATGGACAGGATGATGGGCAGAGCTACTATCTAAAGTCATTATGGAGCAACAAGGTCACGGACCTTGACATTGCTAATGATGTTGCTATCCTATTTGAGTCTCTAGCATCTTTGGTGTTTGCTCTTGATGCATTCAGCAATGAGGCGAATCCTTTGTACCTAGAGGTTTCCTGGACCAAGACCAAGATCCAGGATTTTGGGGCCCTGTTAGGGAAATCTAATCTGTTGATACATGCATGTGGGGAGGATGTTGAAGTCACAGAGAGCTTCACTTACCATGGTAGTACAGTCAGAACAGGAAGTCAGTTGATGGATTGGTCCTGCAGCAGGAGCCATAAACTCAGTCAACAAGAGCATTTGGAGATGCTGGTACCTATGCAGAACGACCAAACTATGAGGTTTCAAGACCTTGATATTGCCAGTTTTACTTTATGGAAGTGAAACCTGGACACCATCTAGTGCCTTAGAGTTGCTTCTCAATGTCTTTTGTAACCAGTCCCTATGCTGGATCATAGGATATAGTTGGCAGGACCATGTGTCCAACAGAAGGCTATACCATGAGACTGGCTTAGTCTGGACCACAAACTCTGAGTTTGTTTCCCTATGGATGACCCTCCCCAGCAGGTTGTCACTTCACATTGCAATCCTGGGTGGAGGAGGCTTGTAGAACACCCTAGGAAGTTGTGGTTTGGGCATATAGACCAGACCTGTCACGAGGAGCTAGAGATTGGCCAAGTGCCTGTATATATGTAAATTATATATACGTATTTATGCATATACATATATATGTATATATATGTATATGATATATATATATGTATATGTCTATTTGTATATATGTATATAATGTATATGTATATGTATGTCTATATGTAAATAATGTA